AATCCATTCAGAAGAGTTTTTACCCTACATAGAGGTACTGTCCTCATCAATAACCTTCTTATGTTTTGTTCAAATTACAGAAAATCATTAATCTTTCAATAAAGGAAACCAAAGGCATTTTTATTCATGCATTGGGCGTGAATCCTGGCACCATGTTAACATGTGTTCTTCATTCCTCGATTCCTCTGCTTTGGTGCCTGGTTCCTTACCGTTACCACTTCAGATCTTCAGAAATACTTTGCTGAGTTGGCCTTTCCCTTTTTGTATTTTTTTTCCTCTCCTATTTTCTGCATCTGACTTAAAAGGATGTGATTTATTTCAGGCACCTTTTTCTTTAACAACATTTCTGTGGAAATGGATAAGATTTTCAGATACACCTAATGCACTTCTAGCCATTGTTTAGTCAGAAAATGGTAGAAAACTTGCATCTGTGTTGCTTTGAGCTGAGTTAGACTGAGGAAGTTTTGAGATAGGCACCAGGAGTGACAATTTCAAAATATGTGTTAAAAATGTCTAATGATCAAGATCATTTATGAAATCAAGAATGAAATTTGTAAGTCAAAAGATGCACAATCCTAGTGATCCCAGTGTGGTTTTCTTTATGGCAACCATAAATCTAACAAAAAGTCATATCCTTCCTTAGATGAAATAAAATTGTTTTCAACACAAGGAGCAGTAAATTAATTTCAGTTTATTTTACTACAAGGTCTGTACTATGGCTTTTGAACTTTGCACATGTTCTGATGTATTTAGTCATAACTTAGAGATCGTGAGCTCTGAACTTGGTCTTTTCACTGTTATAAGTATCTCACTGCAGCTGTGAAATTTGCATGGCTTTAGATACTATGATTTAGCTGAGAAACTCGAACACTTATTGGCAAAGATGATAAAAAAATGCAGTTAATTTTCTAGCCCTAGTTGAGGCATCTAGACCTAGCCTTTCCTCATCTTTATTTTTTGTATGCTTCTTACAGTAAAGCTCCTCAAACATGAGGAACAGATTCTCCTAGGTTTCTAGCTGCTGTTGCAACTTGTATAGTTTATATTGGGTAAATCCAGGGCAACTGACAATCCAAGAAAAAATCCAATCCATCCCTTACTTCAAGCCTTCAAAGACCTAAAATTTTCTCCTACATCATCTTGGTGCAGTCAGTGATGAATTGAGGATGTGGCATTTGAAGGTAATTTGAAGTGCTGGCTACTGTGTAGGCTGGTGTTCCACCCGCCCTTGGCCATGTGCTCCTTTCTCTTTCCTTATGCTGCAACTGTGACAAGGTGTAGATAAGTTCACTGATCAATGAAGAAATGTTTCTTCCGCAGTGAGTTAGTTTTCTACCAAATCATCTCGCTACAGCTGCCATGCAGCTGTCTGATTGCTAGATCCAGCTAAAGGAAGCATGTGGATCCAGAAAAACAGGGATTATCCCCAACAGTATCATCCTGCTGTTACATGGGTTTAGTACTCTCAGCAAAAAAAGGTAATTTTAGTAATGGTTTCAAAATGCTAAATTTTAAAATTGTCTGAGGTAGCATATAGCTTGGGTTTTTTATCCCCACCATTTAGAAAGTATCTTACAGTTCAATGTGATTCAAATAGTACTTGCAATACTTGGTTTTAAACTGTCTATGTTGTGATTGCTCTTCTGCTGAATTTGCCTTTCAGTATACAACGTTAATTGCACTACAGTAATTAGCTGCCTATGACTAAAACTGATCTATAGAAATGGGACAATGTCATTAGAACCTTTAATTTTCTGTTATCAAATTGTAGAGGTATTCTTACAGGTAAGTGCTGTTCACATTTATAAAATATGTGCTACAGTTAGTAACACACCATCATTTAAGGTAGACCTCTGTTCCTTAAAATATGCAAGAATCTATTATTTTTAGTTCAGTTAAGGATTGATTGTCATAAGAAATATGGTGCCCTAAATTAGATTTATTCTTTTTCCCCTCTGATGACTTAAATAACAAAACTAGCTTTTCTTGCATTTTCAAGAAAGCAAAGCTTCCTGAAATTCTTTGTGTAGGATCAAGGGATTGAAGGGTCAAATTTAGATGTTTGAGTATAATGTGATTTTATCTCTCCTTTTTGTATCACTCACACACTCCTAATCCTCACCTGTCCTCCCTATCCTCCCACAATGAAAATTCATCCTTTGAAAGAGGCTGAAGATGATCAAGGGCCATCCTGTTTCAAAATAGCCTCTCTCATTCAGTGCTTGCAGTAGGACTGAGACCACAGGGCTGTCTTTACTAAAGGTGGTTTCTAGTTCTTGTTCACTTGTTCTTGATTTGCATCTGTGTGGCATGGGCAAGTAGGGATGGCATTGTAGAGGAAACCAGTTGGCAGTGACATCTCTACGTGCACGTTGTATGCAGTTTAGGGTAATACTTCAGACTAGTTTAAGTATCACTTAGTGGATTGAATTCCAGGTATCGATTGCAGCACATTGGGTATACTCATGGAGTGCATCTTTTAGTGTTGTTTAATCTTAAAAGAATCCAGTTGAGGGGCTCACGTTGCTCTGCCATGCAAACCAGAGCGAGATAAGCTCAGGCAACCAGGAGACTGGTTTCAAAACTGTGTCAGTGTTTTGAACTAAAATGTGTCATTATTTGCTTTCTTCAAAGCCCTGGGTATCACTGTTTTCAAGGTTAGCTTAGCTTCGTTCTACTGAGAACCAGCCGAAAGCAGTAGCAGGGTATTTTAAACCTCAAATTTGGCTGAAGCGATAGGAGGTGATGGCTGTTTGATAGAACAAATTTTGCATATGTTAACAGATTAAAAATTTGAAAGGAAAATCATATATTTAAAAATAATTGGTTTATATATGCTGCATATGTACAGGAATACTGCTTTAAATAAAAATGAAGCACTGGTTTGTGCTGGTTGTACTGAACAGAGAAGAAGAGGGACGGAAAGCTGGGTAAGAGAGGGAAAGTGGAAGAAAGGACTATCTATGCTGCATTCACTGTTAATATTTTCAGAGTAGTATAGTATCATCAGGCTGTGCTGGTAAAGCTCTCCCTTCCTGGAAAAGAAATGAAAGTAAAAGAGCAAAATAATGGTGATACTCTGCATTTCCACATCCATTAGAAATGAGAATTGGGGACTTTGGCATTTTAGGACAAGAGAAAAAATAGCATATTAAAAAAAAAATTAAGCAACCTCCCCTCCATTTTCATGTTTTGAGCAAAAGTATCGTAGTGTTTCTGTGTAATGGTTAATGCTTCAAGAAACCAAGTTGTATGTTTTGAGTGCCTTTTTATAGATGAAAACAAGTGATGAGGGGAATGTTCTAGCACTTGATTTTGGGATCATCCAAATTCCCTGTGACTCTGTTTCTACTCTGTAGTTATTGGTAATATCTTTTTGGTGAGATCAGTGCCTTACAAAGGAGAAGTATTTTGTACTTAAATGACACTTACTTTTCAAAATACTGATTTGAATTAATGCCTGTACTACAAGATAGCTATTTTAGGTGATAACAGCTAGTAAATTATTCTGTCCACATGTTTTTCTTTTTCCTTAAGTATTACTGTTTTGTTCAAGAAGATAGAGGAAGTCTATGTTAAAGTAATGGTTAAAATTCAGCAATGTCTGGCTCTCAGCCCTGTCCTCCACTAGACTCTGCTGCCATGAAGCATGTTTGTATTTTTTATGTCTAAAAAGAAAAATAACACTTTATTTTTAATTTTAAAAATGTTTAAAAGTGTCACTTTGATGTAATGTATTCCCACCTATTAAAATGTTCTGCATTTTAACTAGACACTTTATTCCAGCAATCCATCAAAAACTGGAAGCGGATGGAACGGAAAAAGTAGAAGGATCCATGACGCAAAAACTGGAGAATGTACTGAACAGTAAGTTTTGTCCTTCCAGCAGCAACTATTTATGGACTTCGGACTTTCTAACAAGCTTTAATATATTTCAAGGAATATGGTAGAGAGTAGAAAACAGTTCAGTCTCTTCATGCCCTTCCCTGTTTGGTGGTAGTGGTTTTAGGGTGTGATAATACACCTTTTGAAATATGTAGCAGGTTTTGGCATGACTGTTTCTGATAACAGAGAGTATAAATAACAAAATAAAGATGTTCTGAAGTATTTGCATTGAATTAATTTTGATGGCAACTCACTTTTGAGTGGACAAAGAAGGCAGAGGAACTGTATAGATAGACAGAACTCAAGAAGGATGAGCAAAGCTAAATACCAGGATTGTAAGAAGTTTGAGCAAAAGCAAAAAAAAAACACCAAAATGCAAATATAAGCTGTTTGCGATAACAAGGTCTATTAACAGGACCTTTTTCACTTAATGTGTTGGCATTTAGACTATTTGGCATGAACATTCTTTCTAGAAACCTTGAAAAGCTGTCAGTACCTTCTCTTCGGTTTCTCTGTATTAACTGTAAGGTTGCATTGGGAGAGATGGCTTGAATTTGCTGCAGTTCGGTATGTGTTTCATCAGATCAAAAAAGTTACGTTTTTTTTTATTCTGGGACTTCTGCCAAGATAATTTTACTTTGTTTCATTGTGATTTTTTTCACAGAGGAAG